ATAACTTCTTGGATGTCGGGATGTCTGGAGAGTGGAGTGTGTGAACAGAAGAGAGGGGGAGGAAGCTAGAAGGGCAGGAAGAGACCAGATTACAAACAGCCTCCAAGTGCCATATTAAGGAGCTTGGACTTCTTCCTTGAGCCATCAAAATATTTTAAGAAGCAGGGAAGAATAAGTAAATGATTGAGTTAATAAAGGTGGGAGAAGGAACAGATCTTCCCTTCTGATGAATTCTGATTAATAGATGGGTAGAAGGCATGTGGGAAGCAGAAAATCACCATTTAAAACAGTACTATAATAATTGCTACAGGCAAGAGCTACTGATGAATATTTAAATTGGTGGGCGACACTTTGAGAAATGGGATATTTGCATAGCCTCAAAGTTTACCTCCCAAAATATGTATTAATTATTTTGATGGTTTTAACATCTGTCCAAACGTGCTTTGATAGCCCCCCTCCAGGAAGTGGGGCTTAATTCCACTGGACTTACTGACTCACTTCTAATGAATAGGGTATAGAAAGGAAAAATAATAACTACAGTGAGCAAACTTGGCAGACATTGCCTTAACCAAGCGATCAAGGTTAACGTCACCAGAATGCCGTGTTCACAGAGGGTACCCCTGACAATGTGATGGGAAGGATACTTCACTTCTACGGTATTCTTCTCCAAACCCCATAACTTTAGTCTAATCATGACAAAACACTAGGTAAAAATCAAACTGAGGGACATTGCATAGAATTCCTGACCAGGACTCTTCAGAAGTGTCAAGGTCATGGGTCATGTCAAGTGTCAAGGGAGGAAAACTGTCACCTATCAGAAGAGGCTAAGGAGACTCATCTATTATTCAGTGCAGCATGGGGTCCTGGACTGGGTCCTGGAACAGAAAAAGGACATTTGGGGGAAAACGGAAAATGGGAATAAAGTCCTTATGTTAGTTAATTTGGGGCCAGTGTTAACGTCCTAGTCTGCATAAAGGTACAGATCATCGCTGTCTAAGACGTTAACGTTACAAGGAGCTGGGGGAAGATATACCATGACTCTGTGCCATCTTTGCAACTACTCTATAAATTTAAAATTATTTCAAAATAAAAAGTCAAAAAAAGAATCAGAGGAGTGACTTGATAAGATTCACATTTTAGAAGAATGCCAGTGGTTGTGGTGGGGAAGAAGGCTAGAAGGAGAAAGACCAGAGCAAGAGCTTACAAGGTCAGGCTATATAGAAAGTCAACAACAGATGGTAAAGGCCTGGATGGGAGCAGGGGCAGGAGTCTGAGGCCATGGGAAGGATGCAGAGATCTCTAGAAGAAGACTCAATCAGACTCGGTGATGGTTTAGACAAGCAAGCGAGGCAGTAGGGGGGCTCAAGATAACACCCAGTTTTCAACCTCTGAGAATGAGATGGGTAATGATGTCATTCACTGAGATGGAGATACCAGGAAGAACACAGGTCAGGGAAGCAGTTCAGTCTTGGAACTGTTGAATTTGGGGTATATTTGAAAGATCCAAGTATGCATTAGGGAACTGGATACAGCAGCTGGCGGGTCAGTGGGGAGAGCTGGCTGTAGACCGCTGTGCATATAAAGAGTGGTTGGGACCAGTGAGAGGGTGACATGACCCAGGGAGAGGGGATAGAGAAGAGAGGGTGTAGAACACAACCATTTAAGGGATAGACACAGGCAGTAGCAAGGGGACTGGAGCGTGTCCAGAGAAAGTGGTGACAGTGCAATATAGTCGTTGAGAGCCAGGTCCTAGAAGCAGGCTGCCAGGGCCAGAATTCTGGCTCTGCCACCAACCTGTTGTGTGACACAGAACAAGCTATTTAATCTAATAAGGCTGTTGTCAGGGTTATGTGACACACTCTATGGATAGTTCCTAGAATAATGCTGGGCTCTTGGTGTTCAAAGAATGTTGGCTATTTGGAGGCAAAGGAAAAATAGGAGCTTGGTGGTCTGGAAGCTAAGGGAAGAGAGTGGTTCCGAAGGGAGCACGTGAACTCCATAGCCCTGAAGATGGCTGTTATAAAAAAAGTGGAAAACAAAAGCATTAGAGAGGATATGGAGAAATTGGAACCTTCATGCATTGCTAGTGGAAATATAACCTGATAACGGCCACTGTGGGAAATGGTTGGGTGTTCCTCAAAAAGTCAAATGTAGAATTATCATATGATACAGCAACTCCCCTCCTTGGTGTATGCCCCAAAGAACGGAAGGCAGGGACTCAACCAGGGACTTGCACACTCCTGTTCAGAGCAGCGTCATTCACAAGAGCCAGAAGATGGAAGAAACACCCCACGTGTCCATCAACAAACGAATGGATAAACAAAATGTGGTATAGACCTACGATGGAATATTACTCAGCCTTAAAAAGAAAGAAGCACTGAGGGGCGCCTGGGTGGCTCAGTGGTTAAAGCCTCTGCCTTTGGCTCAGGTCATGGTCTCGGGGTCCTGGGATCGAGCCCTACATCGGGCTTCCTGCTTGGCGGGGAGCCTGCTCCTCCCCCCTTCTCCACCTGCCTCTCTGCCTACTTGTGATCTTTGTCTGTCAAATAAATAAATAAAATCTTTAAAAAAAAAAAAAAGAAAGAAGCACTGATACATGCTACAACACAGATGAACCTTGAAAATGTCACGCTAAGTGGAATAAGTCAGACACCAAAGGACAGCTATTGTATGATTACTATTCGATGAGGAACCGAGAGAAGGTAAATTCATCGAGAGAGAAAGTGGCATAGAGATCACCTTGAGGGGAGGGAGACTCAGCGAGTTCTTGCTTAATGGATGCAGTTTCTGCTTGAGACAATGAAAAAGTACTAGGAATGGGGGATGGTGATGCGTTGCACGACACCGTAAATGGACTGAATGCCCCTGAATTGTGCACGTCAAAAATGTTGAAAGTGGTGACATTTTAGGGTGTGCGTGTTTTACCATAATATTAAAAAATTGAGGACGTGGTTAATGCTGCAAAGAGGTCAAATAAGGTAAGCCTTATGAATTAGCCTCTGCATTTTATGACACAGGGGTCATCGGAGACATTTCCAGAGCCCTTGTTGTAGAGCAGAGGTCAAAAGTCAGATTGCAGTGGGTTGAGGGACAATTGGGAAGTTGTCCATACCAGGGGCTGGCAAACTAGGGCCAAATCTGGCCTGCTGCCTCTTTCCATAAACAAAGTTTTTTTTTGGAATACAGCCGCACCCTTTAGTGTATATTTTGTCTCTAGCTGCTTGTGTTCAACCAGGACAGGATTGAATAATTGCCACAGAAACCATATGCTCTGTAAGGCCCAAAATATTTACTTTCGGACCCTTTACAGAAGGTTTCCCAAACCCTGGACCAGACAAGAGCCCCCGGTCTTTCCAGAACCTTGACTTTCTTAGACAATGTCTGCATCTCCCACGGGGCGTGGGGGTGGGGGTGGGGGTGGGTTGTTGAATGCATGACTCTGCATTTCCAGCCAGCTAGCCTGGCAGACCCAAGCTTAACCAGTAATAATAATAATAATAATAATGAACAGGAAGGAGGCAGAAGAGGAGGATGGGGAAGAGAAGAAACTCCATCCTTCGTTTCTTTCACTGGAGACAATATCTCCAACGTACTTGCTCTCTCTTCTAGCCTTGGAAAAAGGGATTCTAAGTTCCTTCACCCAACACTCCCCCCACAAAAACCAATCCACTAGTAAATTGTCATGTGACTGGAGATAATAGACATTTTGAGATGGTTCCAAATGGCAGTTGGTTTAAAGTTTCCCGATTAAGGCAAGAAAAATGCCCACAGTCGGGTGCTTTTCAAGTATTGATTAATTTCCTTGCTGGGACGGGGTGTCGATATTAATTTCAGATCAGAGAAAAAGCTGGTATCTTCGGCACTTACTGTGTGTCTGGAACTATGCCAAGTTTTGTGCCTTGGTGACCTCCTTGATGGTCATCAAAACCATCAGATGGCCTTTCCCCGTTTCACAGGCGGGCCAACCAGGGCCCACTGGAGTTCAATACTCTCCTGCAAACTCACGGGGAGTTAGTGGTAGACCTGGGCTTTGAACCGACATCTCCCTGGGTCCAGGGCCCAGGCCATTCCACTGCGTCATGCCTCAGAATGCTTTCTTGAGCCCATCCTAAGCAGAATCTAATACTTGATGGATTCTCCACCTATTTTAGACAATGGGCTATGCTATTTCATAATAAGAGGTGGCCACTTAGGGTGCATCTCAAGTGGACTGTAGACTTCGGTTGGACCCACTCTCCAGCCAGCTCCAGTGTTCCCTGTGTCCCCAAGCCCCACGTTGGTGGTCAACTGATTCTACCCAGAAATATTTCTTGAAAATCATCCTGCTTTTCAGTGCACTGTGCCAGCGCCGTCTAGCCCCCTGGGCTTCACTTGCTCCCAGCTTATCATTTATTTTTACATCATCTGCAAGAATTCGTCAAGCTCTTGGTTAGGCACAGTGACCCAGGAAGGCAGCAAGTGGGGGCCAAGAGTGGCTTCTTCGGTCCCCATCCATTCATGCCCTCGTGGCTGGTGCATAAACACACAGCATCCTTGTGACTTCTTTCCCCTTTGTGGCTGCCCTTGGTAACACAGCCTTTGACTGCCCAGATTGCTACAGCCTTCAAGTCAGAACTGAAAGGGAACACAGAGGTCATCCACCCGGCCCTTGACCATACCCGCGAGAAGACCAGCTGAGGCCCAGAATGGGTTGGCAGCGTACCCAGGCGGACAGCTTGTCAGTGGCAGATCCTGGACTAGGAAGGCACAGGGTCTCCCAGCTCCCAGTCCGGAGCTCATCCTGCTGCAACTCACTACTCCTGATGAAGCGGGGCTTTTCCCCCTGCATGCGGAGCGCTTACCTTGGATCCCTTCGCATGAATGAGACCAGATGCAGAACTCCGCATTGATTTCTGTCCCTCCCCTTTCTGCTTTCTGTTCAAGGCAGCCCCCCAGCTCCCAGCTGGCTCCTGTCCCCTCCCCCAGCCGGGAGAAGTTATTACATGAAGAGATCAGCTTACCAGTTTTCTCCAGAGCAGAGGCTGAGCTTGGAGCTCCGGATAGTACAGTGAGGGAGAGCAGAGGGAAGCAGCGCGGTGCCTAGCGGAACTCCAGGGCTGGAATCCCGAGACACAAGTGCATCTGCTAGCTGTTAGCACTTGGCAGACGGAGTTCTCCTCTAGGGTAGTTCTAACTTTGGGTAATAATGTTTGTCAGCTACCTGATATTAACATTGCTCCACGTTCAAACAGCAGTGTTAGCAAGACCTGGGGGAGAGGTAAGCCAAATAAAATATCTTGTCAGAAGTTGTATTTTTGTCAGCACTATATTTCCTTTTCTATCTACCAAGAGGGATCAGGAAATGGGGTTTTTATGGTGTGCAAAGAGTAATGCTTTATATTGCGCTTTCAGGCTTGCTTTGCCTTTTCTTACAGAAAAACTTTTCTTCTTGAAGAATCCCGTCATTTCTAAAATCTCATTCTGAGGTTGTCTAAACAGTTCCCACCCTGGGTGATTGGCATGGCCTCGGTGACAGATGCCTGGAACGTGCACATTTCTCTTTCTGCCGCTGCAGGAAAAAAAAATGTGCACATCAGATTCCGAAAGGGACTGTTACCTTTTGAGAATTTTTCTCCAGTGTTGGAGAGAGGATATGCATGCTAGAGGAAATGCTTTTCTTTACTGCTTTTGCATCACATTTTCCTCCTTTTTGCTTTGATGTGCCTGGAAAAAAAATCTGTGTTTAACTTTGGATCATAGGTTTGCAGTGGGCTAGTGATACATGACAGGGCTAGAATATGCCCAGAGCTACTAAGGCAAGGAGGCGAGGATGATTTATTCTTATGGGTTTAGCTCATGTTTGCTGGATACATTTCTGAACATCATAGATGCTCTGGCAGCCAGGTCTTGATGCAGCAAAGAGATTGGAAGGGGGGACCATGTGGCCTGGAGCGGGAAGCACATAGGGGTATCTACCCGCACCTGCAAATAAGGCTGCAACCATTTGCCTCATTTGCTCCTTTTACTCTTTATTCTGATGAAAGATCTCAAAGACTGATGTGCGAGCAATGAATGGAAGGACAGTGTCTTTCCGGAATCCATCTTCCTCTCGAAAAGCCAAGTGAAAAGTCTATCTCCTAAAAAGGCCAGGGGCCACATCACAGCTTTCTCTTTTGTTAGCACTGTCAGGATGGAGCAGGCAAGAAAAAGCAGCATGTAATGACTTTTCCCTCCTCTGTGAGTGGAAGCAAGAGCGCTCCCAAAGCCAGGCTGCAGGGCTCGCCGTGCGTTCAAAATAGACATGTGGCTCAGAGGCGTGCAGCAACGGGTCATTTGTTTCAGGCTTTTAGCCTATTAGTTACCCGTGTCCTCTGCTCTGCAGATACTCTGTGGGCCTGGGCTAAAGTGGGGCGGAGTGGGATGGGGGTTGGTGGAGGGCTTGAATGGGAGATGGAGGAACTGAATGGGTTTGTGATGCTGGAAAGCTGAAAGCAGACCATTGCCCTCTAGTTGTAGCTGGGGTTTGCAACTTCCCTGTCGATTTTTTACTGTGCAGAGTAAATGACAAATGGGCCGGCCTAACTCAGCCTGGAGCACTTAAGCATGTGCGAGGAGAGCTCATATGGAAAATATTTCTATCACCGCTGCCTGTGCATATGGTATGGGGAGACCCCCGTGCAGAGCAAATCAGAGCGCCCCAGCAGCCCCTCAGTTGCGTGCCAATTACTCTTATTAACAGCAAGGCTAAGGGCAGTCTGCAGTTACCTGCACACAGCTGGCTCCTGGGGAAGGCCACTCTGGAATGTGTGTGCCTCAAGCCTGTGTCACATGCAGAGAGGCGGGCGGTCCTGTTTCTCTTTACATTCAGCAAAGCAGGCGAAAAATGGAAGGGGATTCCACTGGCTCACCCAGCTCGGGAGAGGAAGGCACAACTTCTGCCTTTGGCGTTCAAGTGCAAGGGCATAGTAGCCAGAAAACCCAATCAGAGGTGACACAATGCCTGCCCTCCTGCCCCTTTGTTCTGCTCTGCCACGCTAAACACAGAAACTCATGTGCCTGGTCCTTGTTTCTGTGTTCCTGCTTCGGAGCACACGTGCACGTGTGCTCACGCCCGTGCACGTGTCACTTACAGAGCCTTGGCTCCATTAACTACCGTGCCCCTAGGAAACTGTACAATTATGATTCTTTCCCCTTGCTGGAAATGAAGAGATGAGGAAGGAGCATGAGTATGCCAGTAGCTCCCCTTCCCTGTTTAAAAAGAACGTCGTTTATATAGAGCTTTGAAGAATGTGGCACGTATTTATAAGAACCTCTGTTTTTATAGCCCTGTTACTTACAAGACTCACCCATAAACATGTGGCGTCGTCCCCAAGTCACCAAGATTTTCTTTTTCGCTGCCAGCCGGTTTTCTTGCAGGTTTTAATTATCTTCCCTTTGGATGTTCATAAAAACACACGGGGGTGGGGGGGGGAGTAAAAAGGGGAAGAGAGGGCTGTACACCTTGTGTCACTTAGCTGCTGGGGGCTCAGCGTGGGGCTGGAAGCCAGGCAGTGAACTCTGGGTAGAAGCTTGGAGTCCGTTTTCGAGGGTGTGAAGTCTTTGCAGATAGGCAGGGGTGGGCAGGTGGTGGGAGGAGGGGGTGTTATTCCAAGCAAGCCTTGTTTGGCGTCCTGTTGCTGGCACTGTTGGCCCCAGTAACTGTGAACCAAGGACAAACAGCCTGGTGTGGTGTGGGCGCGTGGGTTTGAAAACAAACACAGGGAAGGACTGTTCCTTCCTTGATTTTCCGGTTGCAGGAGCATTCGGTTCTCATGACCTGGTAAGAACACTGAGGTCACTAGAAAGCCTTTGGCCTTGTCAACATTAGGAGAGCAGCAGTGTTAACTTGTGGAGATTGTACACATCCCCCCGGAGAATGTAAAGGCAGGCTGGACTTCTAGTGCATTCGCCAGCGTGCGAAACACGCTGGCATCCGGTTTGTTTGCTGGACGCTGCCGGAGGGTGTGTGGGAGTGGAAGTGTGCATTTTTCTCTCCTGAATTTGGACTTAAGTCCTCAGAGAAGACCAATGAGACACTGTTATGTGTGAGGAGGGGGAGGGAGAGGCAACTTGGAAATCAAAACAGTAGAAGTGGGTCAAAAAGATGTTTATGTTCATTTTGATGAAGCAATTTGGCAAACCTATCAAAATTCAAAATTAAAATTAAAAATCAACGTAAAGGGTACAGATTGTGGTCCCAATCTTGTGAGTATCTAAAAAAGCACCGAACTGTGCCTTTTTAAAAAGCAAATTTCGTGGTTATGTGAATAATATCTCATTTTTGTTGAGAAAAGCACCAGGTGTCATAGGAAAGTGTGGACTTGCTGTCTCGTACACGAGAAACTAACACGGCACTGTTAACTGACTGGAATGTAAGTAAAAACCTTTTTAAAAGATCAATTTTTTTGACATTAAAAATGAAGAAGAAATAGCTCTTTGACCCAACTTCTCAATTTCTAATACTTTATTGTGTAAATCTACTCCAAATGTGCAAAATGCTCTCTGAACCATTTTTCAGAATTAGGTTGTTGCAAAAACCCAAATGTCCCTTGATCGGGGGCACTAGGCAGGTGTTCAGAAAGAATGACGTGGTTCTGCACGTATGGGTAGGAAATGACCACCAGGATATGTTGTGAAGTGAGAAGAGCAAATTGCAGCACGGCATGTATAAAATGCTACTCTTTTTTTTTTTTTAAGATTTTATTTATTTATTTGACAGACAGATCACAAGTAGGCAGAGAGGCAGGCAGAGAGAGAGGGGGAAGCAGGCTCCCTGCTGAGCAGAGAGCCTGATGCGGGGCTCAATCCCAGGACCCTGGGATCACGACCTGAGCTGAAGGCAGAGGCTTTAACCCACTGAGCCACCCAGGCACCCCGTATAAAATGCTACTCTTTGTGTAAAATGGATGAACATATTTGTCATCCCCTCTCTGGGAGGATATACAGGAAAGGGGAGGAGACGGGGTGGCTGGGGGTGAAGGGCATCTGAGAGATTTCCATTGCACCATGCACCTGTGTACCTTTCAATTGTGTACAATAAGCATGTACTTAGCTGGTAAAAAAAAAATAATAATAAAATACATGATCTAATAAAAAATCGCTTAGTGCATATAATCTGTATATGTAACCTATCTGTGTTTTAAGTTTACAAGGAGGGCAGTAACAGTAGCTGCTTTAAGAGGTGCTTGGAAGAATGGAAAGTGATGTTGTGTGTAGAGCCGATAGCCTGTGTCTTAGGCAGAGTGAAACTTACTAGCAATTACTGTGGTTACTGTTGCACCTGCTGCCTGGGTGTGCGAGCTAGGCGCTCAGGAAGGGAAGGTGAAAGAGAGAAGGTCTTTTGTCTTTGATGAGCTTCCACTGGAAAAGGGGCACTGAGTGCAAACAGTTAATGATCATGCAATATGAAATTCTCTTTAATTGCGAGAGCAGAGGCAGAGAGCAAAGAAGCAATGAAATCCGCCTATGATGTGAACAGAAACTCCACAAACAACCTCATATTTGAACTGAGACTTGAAGGTCTGTGTGTCCGGGGTCTTCAAGACAATCCCCAGGTTCAGTGATGCTCTGCGTGCAATTGCACTCCCAGCTGTGATTTGTAACAGCAAAAGGCTACAGAGCAAGGTGCCGGGGTGAAGTCTGGGGGGAACCAAGCAGCATTCCACAGGTCCTCTCCCAGTGGAGTCATGCAGGGCATACTTGATTCCCCTAGCGATGAGTTGTGACAACACGTATGAAATGTTATCAACCCGGGATGCTTGTCAGAGACTCAGTGCCTATAGTTTTTATGGGGGGCTGGCCACATAGGCACCCTCTGCCTGTCGTGTACCAGCAGTACAGATTTCCAGAAAGTAAGTAGGGTGTTCAGCAAAAACCTATCGTTAGTACAGCATAGGCATAGTGAGCCACTTTTACCAGCCCTGGGAGTGTGGGGGCCCTCCCCAAATCCATTCCCAGACACCAGTCAGTGGTCAACCTTGTTAGCAGGTTTTTTTTTTTTTTTTAAAGGCGAGCACTCAGGTCTGCTGTGTTAACTCTTTTCTTCACAGATGGGTAGGCATTTTAA